CCCCCCCCGTGGCCAGGACCTCACCCGCAGCAGCAAGCATCCCCTAGGAGGAAACGCCTTCCTGAGCCTCGACAACCCGGAGGAGCCGTACCTTGGAGGAGTCAAGTTCAACGCCATGCCCCCAATGAAGCGCTTCCGCGATATGGAGCAGCTGTCGGGCGGGGAGAAGACGGTGGCAGCGCTCGGCCTTCTCTTCGCGATACACAGGTGTGTGGTGTTGTTGTTGCTCTTCAGATCCAGCGTGCTTGTCTGTGTTTGAACGGCCTGCCTGGTATTCCGGTTTGACTCACCGGAACGAAGTAGGCGTTTTTTTTGTTCCTTCTGGCCTTTGAGGGTTGTTATATTTGTATGCAGTGATAGGAGATGGGGTTGTCTCATTCCGACGACCGACTATACAGGGAGGGGGACCTTGCCGGCATGGATTGGGCAGGTGGGAAAAGTTTCTGTTGGGAACAGCGAGGCCTAAATCATCGATAAAAGCTTGGCCCCACGGATTGAATACTTGCCCCCCACCCACCCCTTCATTCTTTCACCCCTTTTGTTGTTGACCTCCTTTTTTCACGCGGAGTGTCACTCGTTCATCCCTCATGTCGTTTATTTTGCTTTCCCTTTGCTTGAGCGTCATTCTTTCGCTTCTTTCTGTCGGTCATCGTGTTCTATTTTTGCGGTGCTTTACTTCTTCGCTCCTTCTCTCGCCCATCTTATTTTTTTTTTGTGGTACCCAGCTTCCGTCCGGCACCGTTTTTCGTCATGGACGAGATTGACGCTGCCCTAGACAACATCAATGTGAAGAAGGTGTGCAACTACATCCAGGGGAGGAGCGGTGACTTCCAATCCATCGTCATCTCCCTCAAGGTATTGGATTGTCGGCATAAAATCTCCCCTTTCACATTGGTGCTGTCTTTATTTGTTCCTGTTGTTGCTCCTGCTGCTCCTCCTCCTGCTGTGTTGCGCGTTGGTTGAAATCCATTGTCCCGTCGCCCATACCGTCCCCTTCCGATTTCCTCTGTACCACTATTTGCGTGCCCGCGCTCCCTGCTCCACGGCATTCTCCGTCCCGACTTTGATTATTTTTTCCTCCATCATTGGACTCTGTCGGCTGCCCCTCTGGCCCCTATCCTCCACTTCTACCAGCTAGACGACCCAACCGGGGTCACATAGGAGGGGGGGGTTGGACCCTCTCCTGCGGTTCCTGCCTGAGATATTTTTCCCGCGAGAAGGGTACAGCAATCCCTTCCCTCGCGACTTATGAAGTCGATCAAGTTCACTAACATCGAGCTTTGCAGCGCGTCGCTTCCAACGGGGACTAGGATTATATTGGCGAGAAAAAACTCACTATGTCGGGATTTTTTTTTTTCCCTCCCATCATTGGACTCTGTCGTCTGCCCCTCTGACCCCTATCCTCCACTTCTACCAGCTAGACGACCCAACCGGGGTCACATAGGAGGGGGGGTTGGACCCTCTCCTACGGTTCCTGCCTGAGGTATTTTTCCCGCGAGAAGGGTACAACAATCCCTTCCCTCGCGACTTATGAAGTCGATCAAGTTCACTAACATCGAGCTTTGCAGCGCGTCGCTTCCAACGGGGACTAGGATTATATTGGCGAGAAAAAACTCACTATGTCGGGATTTTTTTTTTTCCCTCCCATCATTGGACTCTGTCGTCTGCCCCTCTGACCCCTATCCTCCACTTCTACCAGCTAGACGACCCAACCGGGGTCACATAGGAGGGGGGGTTGGACCCTCTCCTACGGTTCCTGCCTGAGGTATTTTTCCCGCGAGAAGGGTACAACAATCCCTTCCCTCGCGACTTGCGAAGTCGATTATGGTTTACTAACAACGAGCTTTGCAGCGCATCGCTTTCATCCTAGACCAGGATTGATTTAGTGAGAAAAAAACTCACTCTGCCGGAACTGGAACCCATGACCTGGCCCGTGACTCGGTGCTCAAACACTGCTGTCCCGCTTGACGGGACATGGTGAAGACTGACCCCCTCTTCCCGTTACAGGATATGTTCTACGAAAAAGCGGATGCGCTGGTGGGGATCTGCCGTGACCACGCCACCAACAGCTCGCGCACCCTTACCCTTGACCTTGAGGCTGTCGGAGAGGCGTGACTCAGCGCATGCTACCAGCAGAACTTGTGGCAGGGGCGCTGATTTTATGAGGCTTCGACGATACCGCGAGGGTTGCACGCGAATTTTCAACCCGGTGGCGGTCATGGTCTCAACTCAGCATCATCACCACTCCTCGTCTGTGTGTGTGGTGGCTGAAAGGCAGCGATTATTTGACGCAGCACGGCCGTTGGGTAGGTAGGGGGCAGCATCGTTTGTTGTTTGTCGGAGGGTTGCACAAGCTTCTGGTGTCCAGGGTTGTACTGAATTGCGGTCTCAGAGTTGGTTGTGCCCATGTGCAGATTGTGTGGATGCGATGGGTATGTGGGATGGCTTGTTGGCTCCGACTTGTCCGAGTAGATTTCCGTTGCGTGTATGATTCAGCGCTTCTTTGATGGGATATGGAGTCCACCGGCGAGCAGATGGCGGACCCCATATGCCCTGCCAGGGGCGTCGTGTATGTGGTCCTCCGGTAGTATGAATGCGCTAGGTGTTTCGAAGTACACATCCAGGTACCACCAGCGTTGCTGCTTGTCGTACCAGTGTCCGGTATCATGATACTTCCTGCACTGGTAGTAGGTTGTCTCGACGTCCTTCCCTGTTGTTGGTCTTCGATGTTAGATGTTTGCATTATGTAGCGTAGAGCGGGGTAAAAAATATTCAGCAGTGCACATCTTTTGCAATATTTTCGGCACTAATGTTACTCTCAACGACACTCGCTCCTCTTAAGGACAACAACACAGTACAGACCAGACTCCATCCTGTCTTGAAAAAATCCCGAGAAGCGATTGCACAGCAAATTGTCTGGTATATCAAGCACTGCGACTTGCCGGGCGCTGTTCCTTTCCCTCATGGATTCTTTTCACTTAGCCGTCTTCGTCAACCTACTCGACGGTGCCCTTACTGTGCAAGGTTGTGGGTACTTTCCACTGTGTGAGATTGGGTCAGCAGACGCGCCCACGTACACACCATCGATTCAATCTCTCATCCATTGCGTCGCACGAAATAAATTACTGCTACATTGGAACCGCGGCATCGACGTGAACCAATGGCCCCGTTACGAGGGAACCTTCGACGATGCAAGTGCTATCATCTCTATGATCGCATCACTGCAGCTAAGTCTCCTCGCAAGATCCAGGGCTGTGTCTCCATCATATAACGCGGCCTTTTGGATTTACATCAATCAGACAAAACGGCGAACGGCACAGGCGGGAATGACCGGGTGAGAGGAAAATATGCATAGTCACCATCGCATCTACAAGATGGGTACGGAAGCAGCACTTGGATGCTCTGTTTGACCATCATGCCAAAATTTCATGCTTCCGGGTTGGAACCGATGGTGTCGTTTGCGAGCTCCAGGAAGTGAAAACGATCGTGCCAGACACCACCACCACCACCACACCGTGTTGAACAGCTTCTAGCATTCATTCGAAATGACTCAACCTTTAAACGATATTTGTCATCACAGTCGTACCTGCTGATCGCGCAAACAACGGCAGCCGTACCAGCCGCGGCAATACAGAGGCACACTATTTCACACTTGCCTGCATTCGGACGTCCGCCCCGGCGTCTAGCAGCACTCTGATCACCTCCGCCGAGCCCCCCTCCACCGCCTTGAGCAACGGCGACATCCCCGTGCGAGGGCAAGCGGAGTCGACGGGCACCAACAGACTTGGTGCCTGTGTTTCTCCCGTTTGGGCGCTGTCTCCATCTGCGTCTTCCCCAGCGTCTTCCACCTCCACTCCGGGGTGCTGCTGGCATCGTGAGGACAACACCTTCCTCACCGCTTCAGCGTCGCCTTGCTCTACGGAGGCATGGAGTTGGGCCACCAGTGCCTTCACGTCATTAGTTTTTGTGCTGCTGGCGAGAGTAGAAGCGGCCATAGCAGCAGCCGGAGTGTACCCAGTGTCTCCGCTGGCGACGAGAGGAGTCCCAAAAATGCTGCGAGGAGACGAACGGAGAGGGATTAGCGTTAGAGAAGTGGAGGGCCGTATACAGCAACCCCCACCAACGACAGCAGCACTGCCACCACCACGATTGCATGCCATGCTCCAGATACTGCCGCTGCTGCCAGACTACAGTATCGCCGAAACGAAAACTTTTTGCCTGTGCTCCCGACAACAAATGTCAAATCAAACAGAACGGCGTAGGAACGATCCCAGCGCATGGCATCTCCAAAGATATCGGTCGGCCATCGTCCATTCGTCTGAGCTCTGGGCATGGCGACACATCCAACCTCTCAGCGAAACCAGGCGTTAACTTCAGTCGCTTGTGTGCAACCCGGCTGTTGCTACCATATGAAAGCGGCACACTACAGCAGCACACCTTCAGGCTATTAGCGTCTTGGCTGCTGTGTAACTTGGGCACAAAACATGACTGGTATGATACCACTGCCGTCATTCCTGTGTGGCCAACCTGATATGGTCCTCGTCCGCCAGAACAGCAACCGCGCGCCTACTCCGAGCCAGCTCCACAAAGTAAGCCTCCAGTCTCTGATGCTCCTGATACCGTAAACCTTCCAACCCAGCATCAAGCTTGCCACCACCGTAACCATTGCCAAGCTTGCCACCCGCAGACGCTCCAATCACGCGGCTCGCATCGTGTCCCGCGCATTCAGCGAGTGCCCCTTCGTGGTTGTAGGCCTCGTCATCGGATACATCGAACACAATGCCCTTGACCGAAACAAGCGTTGGGTGTTCGGCAAGGACGGCAAGAGGCATTCGCGGGAGGCCGCGTTTGGCAAACGAGGCCGCTGTTGGTCTACCGGTGTCATTGGCTCCTCCTCCGAAACCGAGCGGGCAGGTGATTGCTGCTGCTGCTGCTGCTGCTGCTGTTGTTGCTGTTGCAGTTGCAGGTGCCGATGACGACGAGTCAGTAGTAGGATGAGGTGGGGGAGATCCGAAGCCCACGGGGCAAGTTGGTGCTGTTGTCCCAGATGGTTGAGATCGCTGCCACTGCGCCGCAAAGGGACACGTGCTACCGCTCATGCTCTCACTGTTGTGCCAGCGTTTGCAGCAATAAGCCCCAAGGGTTGTCGGCACTAAAGGAGGCCGAGTCACACAGCTGAAGACCTCTACTTGTGCTTGGGAGTACCGGCAGGTAGAGGCAGCTGGTTGTAAGAATGACACCGGCAGCCGTTAGAAGTGTGATTCTGTTCATGCGTCAAGTAGTAGATACGGCTGCTTAAGGCGGTGGCAGGCTTGTGGAAGGGCGGAGGGAGATGGGAGCCGCCAAGACGCCGCAGACGCCGACTGCCAACACTCGGGACTCAGGGTTTTCGGTGTGGGAGGTTTCAAATTGGTTCTGAATTGGTTCTGGCTGTAGAACCGAACCCTGGTATGATTCAAGGCTGAAGGGAAGAGAGGGAAGAGCTGGAAGTGAACGAAGGAATCTCTTGGGTTGTAGAGCGGGACAGCGGGACTACAGCAGTATTGCTGTACAATCGGAGGACAGTAGTGGCGAGGCGAGGGGTGATCCGCCGTGCAGTCGAAGCAGTGTCAGATACAAGGCGGGAGAAGGTCTGAACGAGGAACGGAGTCGACTGGGCCTTTGCTGGCTGTTGAGCGGAAAACGCTGCTAGGGTGACCCTGCCGCTGAGAGACCCCCACAATCAATTGCCGGCCGGCCGCCCCCAATGGAGGACCCGAACGGAGAAAGCGATCTTTCGGCAGCCTTGGCGCTGCAGGCCGTCGACCTCCAGGCGCTTATGCAGCAAACGCAAGGCGTGTCCAACAATATTTCAGCAACACCGCAGCAGCAGCAGCAGCAGCAGCAGCAGAAGCCGCAGCAGAAGCCGCAGCAGGCAGGAGATGTCTGGGCAATACTCAACAGCAACAGCAGCAGCTCGACGTACAACATCAGCAGCTTGGGGCGTTGATTCCCATGATACTGGCGATCACTCAAAACCTTCTCAGCTTCCAGGCTACCCCGGAATCACAAGACTCACCCCCCCTGCAACAGGTCTCTACCGCCCAGCGTGAGGCAGAGAAACGCGTGGCAACGGAGTGGATAAACAAAGATGGGATTCGGCGGTGGTTTGCCGCGGCGTTAGGCCCGCGCGTGAGTGCATCGCGGCTGCAGGAGCAAGTTGGGGACGCGCTAGTCGTGTCGGAGGCGGTGTTCAAGATGCTCAACACTCTGTCTGGCATCAAGATTGCCCCGTTTGCTGCACGCCAGCACGACTTTCAGTTCGGAAGCGACAAGAAGAGAGGTGTCGGGACAGGCGTTCTCCCTAACGACAAGTTCTCCGCGTTGGTGTGCGGGCTCGAGGCGATGGTACATCTCGGTGCGACCGCTGCCTGCAAAGCTCGCGCTGAGGCCTTTCTGGAGCCTTTTCGCGATATTTCCAAGCGCCTGAGCACGTACGTCGCTAGGTTTCGCGTCGGTTTTATGGGCGAGTTGGGGCAGATGTTGGCGGACAACGTGGAAAATGCTATTGATCGGGACTTCCTGAGAGTGGGGGCGGCTGCTGAAAAGGCTCCGGACCTGTTGAGGGTACGCTTTCCGCACTCGCCTCCAAAGGGTGACCTTGGCCAGCTCGACATCCCGAGCATCACGCCGGTGTCCTTTGACCACACGTGACAGGCTACGGATCAACTCACCAGGGATCACCAGCACATGCTTGTAGCTTCGGTGGCGGTGGCCCCGGGTTCTAGGGGGGCAGAATGGGCGGCGGCCAAACAGCAAAAGGTGACGCCGTCTGCTCCGTCAGCAGAAGGAGGGGGGCGAGTGCACCTTTCAGCGAGCACAGGACCTTCGCCAAGGAATGTTGCGCTCAATCAGGGGGAGGTTCCGTTGAAGACGTGCATTCGGTGGAAAACCTCTGGCACGTGCAACTGGGGCAGCGCTCGCAGGTTTTCTCACGACGTCGCGATCGCAAGCGGAAGGGGAGAATTTGGCAGCAGCGGCGCCAGCGGGAGCGGGAGCGGGGCGTGGATTGCCGCCTCCCGGGGGGGGGGGGGTGGGGGAGAAAGTCAGCGGGCTGTGGCCCCTCTGTTCGGCAGTGGCTGGGGATTCGGAAATCAAGGGCGGGCTGGCGGTAGCCGTGGCGTTTTTCCAAAGGACCGCGGGGCTCGGCCGGGTGGGGCAAGGCCGGAGACGGCATCCGAAATCGTCGGGCAGCGGCAGGACAACGGGGTCCATCGCGCACGCGGGAGTTCCGCTGCCAAAGCCTGTTTCGCCGAACGAGGTGCTGGGTGAGTGGCGAAGGGTGACTCTGATTGTTTTCTCTGTGTGCGTGGCACACGATGCACATGTACTAGCTTTAGCAGCGGTTTGTGCGCACACGAGGTGAATCAATCGGTCATCCATTCCTTTCAGGTGCTGTTCGTTGGTTTTCACAGGCGCACTGAAATCGCGGGGGTCCTCGATATGTGATTTTCGCACGGTACTCGATTTCGGTGCGAGTTTTGTCGTTTCATTTAGGGCCTAAGGGAGCTGAGGATGATTTGACAGAAGTAAATCCCCCCGGAAAGTAGAACTCATGAGGGGAATAGCAAATACATGTCACGGGCCCTGCTAAAAAAGCAACAACGAGGCTAACAGAAATACGTCTGAATCTGCGCATGCTCGCCCCTCTAAGGCTGGCGCATCGACACAACACGAGCCCCCTGAATACCTCGAGAGGCTTTGAAGAAGCCCTCGGCGCTTTCACATCGCAGGACGTGGCCTATGTACCCGATAATTAGGTGGTTGACACATTCGCATAGTAGTCGAGACTGAGAAGACCCTCGCGCTCCGGTTCGTCAACCCCGGCTTCCGTTCGGCAATCGTTTGCTCTGGAATGTATCGATGTTGAAAAGGGCCAACCAGAACATGAAAAATATGTCAAGAATGCTACAGCTCGATGTGAAACATTTAGGGCCAATAGCGTAGCTGGTGTCGGCCAAACATTTCTTTGAACAAATCACCCACTGCCCACGAGACGCCAGGCATGGTCTTAATATATCGACAGGAACAATTGCACAGGGGCCCATGCCGGGAGAAAGCCTGGCTCGGGATTATTTTTTGTCTGGACAAGGGGAAACGCGCTCTCGTCTTGTCACTTGTGTTGCTATCGTTGTTCACGCCCGCAAAGCACCCTCAACCCAAGCGAAGCCGGTTTCTTTCTTCAACTGAAAATAAACAGTGTCGGTGCGGACGAGCCGAAAAGGGCCGGGGGTGTGTCGCATCCATCGAAGGGGCGGGATTCCCGCTTTGCGCAAAAATCGGTCCCGCTGGTGTCATCAAAGAGGAGGTGGCTATTGCCCTTTCGTGCTCCGTTTGCGTTCTTGAGTGATCGGTCCATCGCTTTCCTTTAAGGTTGTAAACCCATCATGTCTCCGAATCGAACCTATGGTCTTGCCTAGAAGAATGTGCACTGGACTCAGGCCTAGTGAATCTAGAACACTATTCCATTGGAAGCCCTTTGTCCTCATCCTTTTTCGTTGTGTTTGGTTATACACTGATTTAGCGTACGGGCGCGGACTTGCCCCGTAATGGATTTATTGTTTTCGATTTTTCAATGGGCTAATCTCTTTGGAATAATTGGAGGGTTTTCGTCCCCCGAAGTAGATGGAATTCGGATCTGGATGTGCCTTTCGAGACTTCAATTCGATCGAGAATCAGAACGTCTCTCTCTGTTTGTGTGATTCCGTCCCAGAATAAGCACTAGGTATGTATTTTGTTCCTTTTCAAAGTACGCATGACTCTCCCGCCGGGCTCCACACACAGCCCCAGTTTCATTCTCATTTGTACTGGCATGCAGATCTTGCCCAGCAGCGGAGTCTCCCCTGGTGGAGTAGCTCAAAAGCATCTCTACCTTTCGCAGGGGGGGGGGGGCGATGCGCTAGTCGGTGACGACGCGAAGCGGTCGGTGCGTTTACTGACGTTGGAAGCATTGTCTACCTGCTTGCGTGTGTCAAATGACGGGGTTTTGGTGTCCCGCTCCTGTATCCTGAGTCGGAGGGCCTCTTAGAGGACAGAGCAAATGTCTTTGCTTGCCTGGCAATCAGTGAAGGATTCATCTTGTCTCTGCCGAATCGCTTGATAGATCGATTCATATTTGCTGGTGATGTGTGGACGTCTGAGCAAAGACCTCTGCTCTGTACGTATGAGTGTCGCATATCGATCGTCCTACAGCAGGGGTTCTCACGCATTTGTTTGTGATGGATGGACGTGGTCGGTGAGGCGGTCGACTCATTTTTCTCAACCCTGTCGTGGGTTGCAGGGAGTCAGTCCGTGGACAAGACGTCCACGCTGGGGTCCACGGATCAAGCAAGATGCAGAGGACTGCCGACTACCACACCACGGAACGGAAACGCATGTACGTCAATAGCCGCTCGGTTGGCCGGTCGGTGGCCTTCTCTCTTTCTCTTTTTTGCATGGGAATCTGAGGGACGGTGCCCACACAGGGTTCGGTGGACTTAACAAGAGCTGGATGAGTGCGCCCGAATAGGAGCTTTGAATGATCACATCGATACGAGACAACGCCCTGATTGGGGCCAACAACGAGCTTATGCTAGAAATACGAGTCGCAGATGGAGACTCTAACCATTGGTGGGATTCACGCATCTCTCCCAGACGCCCGGGTGGGCTGCCGCCTTTTTTCCCACGAGCCGAACTATGACCAGGCGTGAAGAAGTGAACTCGACGACCGGTTGCCACCCGTGCATCCACGCCTCTGTTTTTCGCTCTTCCCGTACAGGACGCTGACTCCCACCCAACGACAGCAGATGAGACAATTCCTTCTCATGTGGAGGGGCAAGGAATTCAAGCGCAACGGGGAGGTTGCCGCCTTCGCCCTTTCGGAGCCACAGGTATGCGTTCGGGCGCTCAGCTGTCGGAACGTCTTCGTCAGCCCAGCGCTGTATTCAAAAAGAGCCCCTTTGATGAACCTCAAGTGCCAAGTCATCAGCTGGTCGTCGAGATGAACTGCGCATGTTTCTGCACCCATTCCCAACATTGTGCTCAGCTCGCGCTCCGCCCGCGAGTCACTCCGCTTTCACCCACGCAATACGTCCAACGTTTTTGGTTCCTTGTTTTTTTTTTCTGGATGTTTTTGTCCTGCTTTCCTCGTTCGTGGTCTTACAAGCCGCACAATGATCATCGAAGAGTAAACAAACCGCCGGCCCCGCATACGGCCGAATTGCGCAGTCGTAGTGAACTTTATCCGACCTTGCCTGCTATCGAAAACATGACTCCTCTGCCGTGTGGCTCAGATAGAACAGTGCTGGAAAGAGTGCCGACCTCAGTGGGCGGCCTTCACAAGGTAACGGGTTGGGAGGGTAAGTGCTAGTCATTTTTTGTTGCGTCTCGCTACTATTATCTCATCGCAAAATGGTGCGTCCAAACAATGTTCTTTGTACCCTCAAGGCATTCACAAGGAACGATGTCAATTTGTCGCAACCCCCTTGTCGACAGACCGTCACCTTTTCTGTCTCTAACCCTCCCCTATTCGCAGACGGCGGGAAGCTGGCCAACGGTCTCGCTGCGATTCACAGATTCCCCGAACACAACAACTCCTCGCCCGAATGGTAGTAGACGTCGGCGAAGACCAGTGCGAGGTGGGTCAGTGTCCTCGACTCCCCCCCAATCTTGTGGCTCGACCTCGACAGGTGTCCTATCGTCGTCGGCAGGGCCGTGTGAATGGGTTTCGGGTTTGTCGCAGTGGACACGGCGTAGACACACAAGGGTATAGCACCTCGATGGTTCTAGGTTGCATGGTGCGGGAGAAATTATTGAGTACAACTATACCGCCAGTGTAGAAACGTATTCACGGAAGGAGCGACGGTGTAGAGCGTTGTCAATGACACCAACAGGTCAACAATCGGCCATCCACACCTGCCTGGCCGCGTGAGTTTGTTCAGCGTAGTTTCTGACTCTCAAACGCAAAGCCGCTCCGGTAGCCACGCGGGAAAGAGAAAGACGAGCGGGGGGGGGAAGAAGCCTACATATGATATGACGGGGGTGTGCATGGTGAAGCTTGGGCTATGTATCCCTTTTTTCCCGACTCGGAGTGCTCGTCGCGTTTGCAAAAAGCGTGCGGGCTGCTTTTTTCTTGAGTTTTTTCGATGGTTTGTCTGCCTTCGTAGTGTGGTGCAAAAACTGTAGTTGAGCTCAATCGATATATGGCTCCACCACCAAATGGTGTCTTTCAGGATTAGTCTTCATGTGCATGTGTACAAGGATCTCGGGTTCTTGCAAGTGTGCTGCAGGCGTTTTGGTCGACGGGTCGAGGCAGCCGGTCCCCGGGTACTTTGCCTCGTGGTCGAGCTCCTCCCTGCTTGTGTTCAAGTCGAACGACGCCCTTGGATCGCATCCGTCGGCGTACCCTCCTTTCTGAACGGTCATTATTCGTATTTACGTTGTCACACTGTGGTTGAGTCATTTCCGATGTGGTGTTTTTTTCGTTCATATGTAGTGGGAGCAATGCCAGATGAGGTAGGTCTCCATCGGAGCGCTGTTCGTACCTGGCAATACGCTTCTCTCGTTCGACAACAATTGTGTGACTCTGAGTACGATCTCCAATCGTGTGTGGCGTGTGCGTACGTAATTTCGGTGGAGACTGCCGTTTAGTGGGATGTGTTTGGTCGGGAGAGTGCCTCGGGAGAACGCGCTATGGTCATGAATTCAGGCCTTGCGGAAAGCGGTGCGAGAATCTACTATCTGCACTCGCGCCGACGTATTTGTTGACATCCGTCGGGGGGAAACGCAAGTGTACGGAGAGCGCGGGGGGTGGAAAACTGCTGGGACTCCCTGACACGCACGTCGAACGCTGTACTTCATCATTGCATTACCAACTAGTGGATCACGGGTGAGGTTCTTCATCATTGCCCTGCCAAATAGTGAATCAAGGGCGAGCGAATGTCCAGGGTGTGGAAGAATGTCGAACTCGTTAGGCAGGGGGCATTACGTGCTTACGTTGGTGAATCTAGCCGAAGAAATCATTGTCGGTGTGACTGGCGGTCGGTGCGAGGCTGCTACAGTATTGTACCAGACATTCCACATAGGATCAATGCAGGTGAAATGGACTAGGTTTGTGATTGGGGTCATTGTGGTCGGTCAAGGACACGAGACATAACGCCATGCATGGTGCAATGGAACGAGTTGTTTGAACTGGATGTTGTTGTTGTTTGTTGTTGTTTCTCACATTAGCTCTAAAAAAGAAAGATTGGGAGCCCGTGGTCTCAAAACCCGGCATACACGACCCCACGAAGAAACAGAAAAAAATAGGGTACAAAAACCACTCGGAAGAGAAACAAAATGATAGAAAGAAAGACCAGCTACCGCACCAAACGAGAAAGAGCGTCGAGGAGACCGATCAAAATAAAATAAAAGGAGAACGGGGAACGCTTCCCACACCCGCCTACAACGCCGGAGGGTTCCGTGCCGGGTTCCCGCCGACCAGGCATCCCCCGCCCTGCACCACACCCCAGGGGGTGCAGCAAGACGGGGGGCGAAAAACAAACACATATATATTCCCACAAAAAAAATAAAAAATCGAAGGACAACGTACACCAGTACCAGGTACTACAGCAGTGCAGTATGCACCAGCGCATTAGTGTAGGGTAGGCACCGCACCAAAGAGGCAGCAGAGGTGGCAGGCAGCCAGCAAAGGAAAAAACAAAAATAACAAGGAGCTCGAGGTATCGTCCAAGATCATCGTAGAGAGGGCATGGAGGACAAGAAAGAAATAAAGAAGAAAAGCACAAAGAGAGGCCGGAGGCAATACTAAGAGCATACAGCTTACGGCAGGGAAAAGGGAACACA